GGGAGGGGGAAAGTTTAAAGGTAGGAGAGGGCCGATTGATTGTTTGATTGTTTTGTGGTGTGCTACTGTCAGGGTTTGGAGAGATGGTTTGGTTTGGTTTGGTTGGCTGGTTGGCTGGCTGGTTGATTGTGTATAGAAGTGCAAGTATTTGCTATATATATATATACACATATATACATCTACGTAAAGGGAGGGCGATGCAATCACAAACCGAATTTTGCACCTACCTACCACGAACCTTTGGAACATTAACGTGCGGTACCGAACCAGCAATAATTCGACTACAACTTGGCTCGAACCTGGCCCTCAGGCCGAACCAGCGCCCGCCCATTCGTGAGCACCGTCTTGCCACCGTGCACGCGAACGGTGAATCGAATCTCCTCGAAGCCCTCCTTGTCCACATCGCCCGTCCTCCACATGTCTACAATCAGCCGGTCGCCGGGCTTGACGGGCGCGGCGAAGCGCGCTTGAAAGGCCTTGAGGTTCTCGGGCTTGCTGCTGCCAAAGGCCTTGAGGACCGAGTTTGCGGCCAGGTTCCAGGAGAAGAGGCCGTGGATGATGGGCCCACCGAAGCCCATCTTCTTGCCGGGCTCGGGGTCGGCGTGTAGGGGATTGTAGTCGCCATTGAGGCGGTAGAGGTGGGCGGTTTCTGGCGTGGTTTGGAAGACGCGGGTTGAGTCGGGTGCGCGATCGGGAGGGGGGAAGTTGGGGACCTTGGGGCCTGGAAAGGATGTTTAGTTGGAGGGAGAAGGCGACAGGGCTACTTGTACAAGTAGTTATGCGATATGCAGCTCACCCTTGGGACCTCCCCATCCACCCTGGCCAACGTAGAATCCGCTACCAACAGCCCGGGTATACGTCTCGCCCGTCTCGGCATCGACAAGGCGCTGCTCTGTTTCCACGACCGTCGCCTTGCCCTTGTCGTACACACCGAGCACTTTACTCCTAATCTCAAATTTGCGTCCCTCACTCGTGACCGGCAAGGGCTTTAGGAACTCGATCTTGCGCTCTCCATCAAGAACGCCCCTGGTGTCGAACTTGGGGACTCCCTCAATGGGCTCGGCGTTGCTGCGCGCATAAAAGTCAATGACATCTTGGTCGGCGTGTTTGAAGGGAAGGACGATTGCGTAGGTTGGGAAGGCAGCGAAATGAGGGTGGAGTTCCTAAACCGAGGATTAGTATGGCTTGCAGATATCCATGTACGTATGACAACATGGTTATATGGGAATGGCGCAGGATGACGTACGTAGAGGAAGTGCAGCTCATCGGGATACGTAGCTCCAATGCTGTTCGCGAAGAGAAGAAGATCGCGCTTCAGCCACTTGACCTCGAACGAGGGAAACTCGAAGCCGACACCGGGACCGAGTTCTTTACCCATACCGACGATTAATGGGAGGCTTGTCAAATATCAATAGACTACCTATAACAAACAGGACAATTTCTGAAGTAAGGTATTTGCGTCCGACAGAGGAGAATTGTAAACCTCTGGATCGTAAGCGGGGTGGTCAATACGTTCAGGCTCGATGAAGCAGCTCAAGCGGAGTTCTGGGGCGAATTTGCCGAGGTTCAACTCCCAGTTCACTCATCGCGAGAAGCACGCTATCCTTAGTGAGGAAACATGGTGAGAGGAGTGCGCAACGCTGCCAGATCAGACAACTTACCCTGCCTTACGGCATGTACTTGTTGCGCGACAGCCACGGGCAATCAATTCAGCCAAGGGCCTAATCACACATCATGCAAGAATATCTTGGAGGATTGAACCTGTGCGTGTTTTGGTGTTGAGTCGCAGCAGGGTGGGGTCTTTTGGGCAAAATGCTAACATCGTGATTTTTTTTTTACATTTCTTCACGTATGTACAGACGAGCATTCTTCCTCAACGTGGTCCACTCCCAGCCAGCCATTACAGTCCCGTGATGATGCAAATGATTTGGATCATAGTATGCTAAATGTGCAACCAAGTATGTGTGTAATGCATAGGAATTGGAAAAACACTAACCTTACCACTGCACCGGTTTCGGTCAAAACTCCCCAGCAGATAGATATAACGATCGCGATGCCTGACTGAAAGACCCCACGCAATGCAAAAACAGCAGGTCATAAGAGAAGCTACCCTTTGTGTACAGAGAAGACGCAAACGCGCCAGGTGACAAAACTGTACATCTTGTCTCCGACACCTTGCGCGGAACGCATGCATGCAGTTTACGAGCGAGCGTAAACCGAGAGTATGTAGTATTGTCGTAGTATTGTCGTAAATTTCATCTGTCTTGCTCCAGGCAACGCATCTGATCTGGTTACAATATTGATCCACTGCAACCCTTCCCTTGGTCTTTGTGAAAGTCGAAAGTTTATCGATCCACAACATGGTCATCACAGTGTCGATGGGGGCTGAAGCCGAACGGGAGCGAGGGAGCATCGCTTTTCGAGGCTCAAGATGAGAACAGGAGCCGGGTATCCAAAAAGAAACTCGTGAAAGAGAGGCTGAGCTGGTGTACCGCCGTGTGTTTGACAATCTGGTCTGTAGCTTTCACATAGCCCTATTCATCAACCAATAAGGTGCACGGTCAGAGACAATATCGCCCGTGCCAAAGTGTACGGACGTATCTGGCTCGTTCACTAGACGTCAAAGTTGCCGTGGTTGAAGATATCGTGGTCGTTGCTGGGGATGACTCCAGACATTCTATCTCCGCGCCCGGCAGGCTTGTCCCAGTCTACTTCATCCTTTTCATCTTCATCCATTCGCTCCATGTCATTGTGCTGTCTGTTGCCAAACTGTTGATCCAATGTACTTTGGTCGGTAAAGGTGAAGCCAGCAAAGTTTGCTTGCATAGTTGGCGATAGGGGTGTAGAAGCCGGGTTGACACCGGAAGCCAGAGCGGCCGCTCGTGCGTTGAGGGATCCATTGCCGCTATTGAGAGCATTCGTAAATTCAGGGTCGAAGTTGGAGACATCGAGTTCTCCCTTCAACTTGGGCTTGAATGGAGGAACCACATTCTTCTTGGTCAACGCTTCCCAGTCAATGTCTGCAAAGAAAGGGTGAGCCTTGAGCTCTTCGGCATCCCGAGTTGCGCCAAGTCTGTGCTTCGGGTTCCTGTTTAGCAGTCCCTTGACAAAGTTCCGGCCCTCTGTGCTGAGCGCGTCGCGGGGGAATCGGACTTTGCCAAACGCAATGTTCTTGTACATTTGCTGGGTATCTTCCGCGTAGAAAGGACTCCATCCACAGCACATCTCGAACACGAGTACTCCAAGTGACCAGAAGTCGACCATCTTGGTGTAACCGTGCTCATCCAGAAGAACCTCGGGGGCAAGGTACTCGGTCGTACCACAAAATGTATTGGTAGTTGCATTCTCGGTAAGGTTAGCCTTTGACAGGCCAAAGTCACAGAGTGCGATGTGACCGTTTGCATCCAGGAGGATGTTCTCTGGTTTGAGATCGCGGTATACAATGTTGTGTTCGTGCAGGTGTTGCAGAGCCAGGATGAGTTCGGCAATGTAGAACTTTGCACGAGCTTCCTGGAAGCGACCCTCTCTTTGAAGATGCCAAAAGAGCTCACCGCCAGACATGTAGTCTGTGACGAGATAGAGATCAGATGGCGTTTGGAAGGAGAACTTCAAGCCCACAATAAAGGGTGAGTCTGCCATGGCCGTCCGGACAAGGATGTTGCGCTCTCCCAATGTGTGTGCCACCTCCTTCTTCTGTACAATAACCTTCTTGGACAGCACCTTCATGGCGTAGATGCGGCGAGTGTCACGCTTGCGGACTTGGAAGACCTGGCCAAACGTGCCCTTTCCGATGAGCTTGAGGATCTCAAAATCTTCTGGGCCGTAGTGCTTCTTGTCGACCTTGTGGAAGTTGAGCTTCAAGTGAATCTCTCCCGTCACCTTGCCACCCTCGCCCTCTCTGGGTTCTAGGGGGAACCAGCCGTCATATGGCTCATTGTATTCAACCAGGTTGGGGCAGAATCGAACGTGACCCAAGAACGCCTCGCCATTTGAGCGGTCGTAGACTGAAATGTCCACTTCAGCGTGGTCTCCCACAACATCGCTATGAAGGGTGAGTAAGAGGAGCTATTCAAGAGGATCGAGCGAGCAACTTACAAAATCGCCTCGTGTTCCCACTTTGGATTCGTCACCTCTTCCGGCGCACTATTCTCTCTGGGATCCGAGCTCTGGCCACTGTTGCTACTCTGTCGACTCTTCATGGGAATGGCCATGGGCCTGCCCATCTCGCTCTCTGTCCGCCTCATCTGCATGGGTGCGTGGCGACCCTTCTTTGCCTCATCGTGTCTCGGGCCGTCCGAGATGTACTCGGCCCACTGGAACTGGCAGACGACATAGGGATCCACACTGGGCCGTAGTCCTCGGCCCTCTGATATTGTCACGGCAAGCTTCCCCTTGGGCGCGACAAAGGTGGCAGACTTGCTGCTCTTGATACTCTCTTTCGACTTGTCCGATGCGTTCGACGTCCGCGACAGGTTCGAGGGCAGCGGCTTGCTTTCCTGTGAACGAGTGCGGGGGGTCTGAGGGGGAGTAGCCTGAGATTGGGGTGGCGCAAAACCGCCTTGCGTTAGCTTCTCCGTTTCACCGGTCAACTGCGAGGTTGAAGGAGTTCGGGAAGAGGCACTGGGAGTGGGGCTGGGCAGCATTTTGGGACGCGTCTCTGAAGCCTCCTCTTTCTCTGGGGGGTCCGACGAAGCAGACAAAGGGACTGGTGCGGGGATGGGGTTCGTGGAAGGCTTTCTTCCGGGCATGAGAGAGTCACGAACCTGGCCAAAGTAACTGTGCAGAATACCCGGCAGTCGCTTGTCCGTCGGATCGGGGCGCGGTGTTGTGGCACCGGGTGGCGTGGAGCTGGTGGAGCCGATCTGGTCGTGGCCGTCTTCGTTGGCGTCGTTGGTGGCTCTGTGGGGCGTCAGCAGGGTGGCGGTGGGAGGTTGCATCGTCGCGGTGAGAGCGCGCGCGTGATGTGGTGGTGGATGAGAGGGAAGAGGCAAGAAAAGGTGAATGTGAGGGTGAGGATGAGTAAGAAAATGCAGGTGAGCTGAGGCAGCCAGAAGCGAGTCGGTGACGCATAGAAGGTGGTGTGTAACTTGGATTTGGCCGCAGCCCAGTGGCCGCCGCCGCTCGCTCTGGTGGATGGTGGGAGGCTGAGCTAAGCGACGACAGCAGCAGCACCAGCAGGAGGATGCAACACCAACACCAACAATAACAACAGGAGCGCTGCTGAATGCAATCGCTCCCATGACAGAAACAGGCCGGACCAAACCACCACTCTAACCCTTCAAAAATGAAATAGAACCAAAATAAAGCCATAAAAAACTCTTCAAAAGAGAAGGGCGGGGGCGGGCAGTGGACGAAAACAAAAAAGACAAGGCTAGGCTTACCTCTGCATCATGGCTTGCCGCAGCAAGTCGGCGGCGCCTGAAGAAGGGTTGCCGGTGGCAGACGAGGCCATGTTGGTGGTGGAGGCGGCGGAGGGTCGGGTGGTGGTGGGTTCGCGGTCGACGTTGGGCATGGACAGGGTCGGGATGAGACTCGAGGACTTGATGCGAAGGTGATGGCGGGGTCGGATCGTCTTGGTCGAGCTCTCGGAAGCGCGCGAGACTAGTCCGGGTCGGTTTGGACGAGCATCGACGGCAGGGCGCGTGGAAGCAATAGTGGTGGTGGGAGTTTGTCGAAGAGAGATGTTGGCAGGGCTAGTTAGGCTGGCGGTGGAGGTGGTGTTGGAGGTGTTGGAGGTGGATGTGGATGTGGATGTGGAGGTGGAGGTGGAGGTGGAGGTGGAGGTGGTGTTGGTGTTGGTGTTGGTGTTGGTGTTGTTGGTGATGGCAGCAAGACTGGTGGTGCTGGCGGGGAAGGTGAAGCTGGTGGCCAAGGACGAGGATGAGGAAGCGGACGAGGTGGAAAGGAGAACAGTCGGGTCGGCTGTGTGAGGGCGTGAAGTCATAATAATCAACTGGAACCTGGCTCGCTGCTCGGAGCGGCCTTAGCTTCGCGACAAGCGTCTTTTGTAATGAATGCGAAAACTCTGCTCAAGGGCTCTATTTGTCGGGGGCAGGCTGCCCGAGTGCTTGCAGTGCAGCGCGCGAGATGCAAGACCAGCAGAGGCACAGACAGCTAGGCAGATTCCCTAGGGAGCCAGCCGTGGCGCAGTGAAGGTCGCGGGCAGGTAGGTAAGTACTGGGGTGAGCGGTACCTGGTACAAGCCCTACCTAACCTGACCAACAGCACCACTGCGCAGTGTAAGAGTAACAGAGACAGGGTGGGGGGGGAGGGCGGCGGCAGCAGCAGCAGCAGGTGTATAAGGACTCAGGTTGCAGGGCCAGCATATTATGTATGTACACAAGTAGATTGATTCCTCAGAAGGAGGGCATCACCACCCTTGCGCCCTGCGGCGTTTGATAGCAGCGTCATGTCACCAGTCCAGCTGCCGCTCCCTCGGTCGCAGTCGCGCGAGGCAACTGCAAGTTTGATCGTGGACAGACAGTGACGGCGGGCGTTGCAAGTGTACTCTAGTCTCTAGCCGACGCCCTCACCCGGTTTTCTTCTGGTTGACCGCTACTCGACGTTTTCTAGCTTTGCCAGGTCTAGCAGGGCCTCTAGCTGTTGCAAGTCTCTTGTCCCAGGAGCCCGGCGACAGACAGGTAGCGGGAGGCAGGTCAAACCATGGTACCAGGGTACACCTACTATACGACATAGCTATGGGTGCCATGGTACGGTAGGCACGCAGGCATACATAGCAGGGCACCGACCAAGAGGGCGTACCTACAAACATGCACATACATGGATGTATATACATACAATACATACCAGACGACCTACCACAGTATATGTACTAGAGGAGGAGTAGGAGTAGGAGTAGAGTAGTAATGGTAGTGGTAGTGAAGGCAGTTTGTAGTACATAGTAAGGGCATGTACCTGGTAGTAGTAGTAGTAGTAGTAGTAGTAGTAGTAGTAGTAGTAGTAGTAGTAGTAGTAGTAGTAGTAGTAGTAGTAGTAGTAGTAGTAGTAGTAGTCAGTGCTAAGTCTGTAGTGGATCGGTACCCTGGGCCAAGGCCGACACGCACGCTGACGTTATGTTGCCCACTGCCGCTGGCTGGCTGGTCTGACAAACACATGACTGGGGCCCGCGATCCTCCATCACCCCCTCCTAGCGAGTCCTTACGCGGAGCAGATCTCGGAGACGTGCGGCTCGCCCACCAATCGCTGCCGACACATGTCCGTGTTGAGTGGACCGCTGAACCCCCTCGCATCTGCCCACTGTTGGCCCATGCCGCGCCCATCCTACCCACGCCCCACGTCAACAAAGACAAATGCAAAAACAGCGATTCATCCAGTTTCACGCCAGGCCACCGAAAAGAGAGAACGAGAGAGAGAGAGAGAGAGAGAGAGAGGGGAAAAACGCCGCAAGTGGGCCATGGATGTGCGACTGTGCACACTTGTTGGGACATCCGACACTTGAGCCGAGAGGTGCCTTGTTTCCCATGTGTCAAGATTGGCTATTCCGACATGATAGTGGGTGGGCATGATGAGTGGACAGAGCAGGGCAGTGGACATGGGAGCAGATAGGTACACAGTCAAACTTCGATAGCAGATTGGAGTAGAGTAGAGTAGAGTAGAGTAGAGTAGAGTAGAGTAGAGTAGAGTAGAGTAGAGTAGAGTAGAGTAGAGTAGAGTAGAGTAGAGTAGAGTTAGCGTCCACCATCCATTTCTCTTTGAGATCATGTCATGTGCCAGATCAGCTTACCCCGTTGTCATGGGCCATTCACATGTGCCTTGTGACAGCTGAGATGCGACATGGGCGTGGGTACATTGAGGAGGAGAGGTCGTCGGTGTCGGTGATGGTTGGCTACGCTGTGACGATTTGCTTGGTTGCACGCTGGAATGGACCATGGCGCTGCAGAGTGGCCATCAGACAAGTGACAGTCGTTGTCATACAACTAGGTGCATGATACCGGTACATGCACGCATGAATCCGTTCATGTCACTCTACCCCTCATTCCCTCACCGTCTACCACGGGTACGATGGTTTTCTACAGAGCAGCAGAGTAGATAGAGCATCACTGGCAATCGCCGTCCTCCGTCACACATGAATGATGCAATCCATGGCGCTACTGCTTCACAGCCAAACCTGCCTTGGCGAATCGGCCCAAGTTTCGCCGGCGGCACTTCCTTTGTACCTGGGCAGAGACGCTGCATCGCGAACTCGGTGCTGGAGCTCAACGCCAGATTCGCCCCGCGCACTCGACCACCATGTCTGACCGCGAGTTTGGCGGCAATGACGACCTGTCGCTGCCCAAGGGTATGTAGGCACCTGCTTGCCAATAGAGCCAGATTTTCAAGTTGGACGCTGAGCTGACCACCTGTCGCAGCAACCGTGCAGAAGATTGTCCAAGACATTCTAGCTGGCGAACCTGGCATGACGTTTGCCAAAGATTCCCGCGACCTCCTCATCGAGTGCTGTGTCGAGTTCATCACCCTCATCTCCTCCGAAGCCAACGAGATTGCCGAAAAGGACGCAAAGAAGACGATCGCATGTGAACACGTCAAGGCAGCCCTGGAGGAGCTCGACTTTGGCGACTACGTGCCTGCCATCCTCGAAGTCGCCCAAGACTACAAGAAGCAACAACAGGTAACTCTCTCTCTCTCTCTCTCTCTCTCTCTCCTACAGACAGGATTCTACAGCATAGGCTAATGCGCGCAGAATCGCGAGAAGAAGCAGACCAAGATCGAGCAGAGCGGCCTCAGCAACGAGGAGCTCGAGCGCATGCAAGAAGAACTCTTCAAGTCAGCGACCAACAAGTTCAACGCGGCCCCGCCGACAGCATGAGCACTGAAGAGGGTTCACGTTAGGAGCAATCATGTATTTCTGCACGGCGTTATGGTGTTGTCGGCCGTATAGGTCTCCTCTGGCGTTTGGAATAGATACAGGACAGGATGAGGAACGCGTGGGCCGGCAACCACTGGGTCTAGGGCCTGGCGGGTAGGCGTTCTCGGGTGGTAGCAAGGCACAGCGAAGTCTAGCCCTGAGCAGAGAATCTACAGTATCTAGGCGAGGAAACCATTCATCAGCATCCGAGATGATGATCATTATTATTTTCCTTTCCACACTGGCGCAGAAGCATAGTGCCTGCCTATGAACGCATGCTTCGCGGCGAAGGGTCTGTGCGGATTCGCGACCAATGACGTCGAGCACAAGGGCCGCCAAACCCCGCGTGGTGGCCCCGGGGCAAGCAGCCGCAATACAGTAGCAGCCCACACTCCACTTGCCTACTCTTACCACTGACTGGCTTGCTACCGCCTATCTCCAGCCACAAACTGTCACCACTACCACCACCACTACCAACGCAACACTTAACACTTCCAGCACTACACCCTTCCCCAACCTGCTACACCCCCACATACCACGCAAACATGTCGGGTCTCGAGAATGCCCTCTTCAATCTCAAGGTACCACTCGCACACACATACATACACATACACTCACCATTGCGCCTGCAACCTCCTGACCCCTCCCCTAGTTTACCGCCAAGTCGCTGAACAGACAGGCCCTCAAGGCCGGCAAGGAGGAACAAGCTGAGAAGATGAAGCTCGAAAAGGTGCGCATCTACCACGGCCTCCCAGCGACACCCCACCCCACATCTAACCAAACCCAAACCAGGCTATGAAACAAGGCCACAACGACATCGCCCGTATATATGCTGGAAACGCAATCCGCAAGCAAAACGAGAAACTCAACCTCCTCCAACTCGCCTCGCGCGTCGATGCCGTGGCCGGCCGTGTCCAGACCGCCGTCACGATGCGCCAGATTACAGGGAATATGATGAAGGTCAACCGGAGTCTGGATGTTGCCATGAAGAGCATGAATCCAGAGCGTGTACGTAAACCCTAACTCGAAACATGCACACTACTATCCACAGTCTGTGTGACATCCAGAAAGCTGACCAGGTGTTTCAAACAAACCAGGTAGCCGCCGTCATGGTCGACTTTGAGAAGCAATTCGAAAACGTGGATTCGGCCACGGAACTCTACCAGGACATCACCTCCTCGGCCACGGCTGTCGGTACGCCACAGGAAGACGTGGATCGCCTGATGGCGCAGGCGGCAGACAAGGCTGGCGTCGATCTGCAGCAGGATCTCCAGGAGGCCACGCCTTCGAAACAAAAAGTCGGGCCCACGGAGCAGGAGGAAGAGGCTTTCACCGAGCGGTTGCGTGCGCTGAGGAATTGAGCGATTGGCGTTTTAGGTCATGGGGACTGCGGGGAGGTGTTATTGGAGTTTTGGGCGCGATTGGGAAGTGGGGGCTTGTTTGTCGTTGATTTTATTTTACGTCTTTAGATTCAGTCATTTGAATCACATGCGGCATTTGATCTTGCAAAGGGAAGATGGGATATATTGGAAATATGTGTCCCTTCCCTTTCCCCCTCACTCCCCTTGTTTTTCCCTCTCGACCGCCATAAGATGATCTATCTCTCACAAATCGCGCGGTGAACATCCACGACGTACATGCCCGTCCCATACCTACCGCCCTCCACACAACACACAAATACAACACACGCGACGCAAGCTACAAACTGATCAGTACATAAATAGTGATTCATCTATCTACACGCGACAAGCCCCATACCAGACCAGCATAAGATTAGCCACAGTCCCTGAACCCCTCCCCCATAATCATCCATACCGATGCAC